CACGTATGTGCCAAATTTGAATGAAAACTGACAAGATACCGCATAAAATCTTTGATCCAATTGCGAAATAAATCATCATGGACATGTATCCTAACATGAATAATCTATGTACCAAGTTTGAATGACAACTGATAAAGCATGTCCAAAATACAACATTTTACAAAAAACAAGATGGCTGCCAGTCGGCCATTTTGAATCGAATCACTAAACCACTGCATGTGCATATGTCCCACACAAAGTACTTGGCACATGCAAAGAATGAACAGAATCGGCCCAAGGGATTCTGAGATACGACTCAGACGCACAGACGGCCGGAGACCGAACTATAAGTCCCCGAACGGGGACTAATAAATAGTTATGCCTCTGCTGGCTCCAGTGTAGTATCACCAAACATCAAAACTGTCATTTTAATTTTTATTAAATACAACACACTACAATTCTGAGTTGAATTGTGAGGATTGTTTTATTACAAGACAAGTAATTCTTAGTATAAACACTGAGACAATTATTATAAACTCTTTTCTTTTTACATATACAAAATTAAACAGTGTTTATACAAGATGGTCACAATAACATACATTTTGGAGGTTTTTAAAAATGCTGCAGTAGAAAAATAAGCAATTTTACTGACCGCAGAATCCCAAAGCTGAATCAAACTACAGAGACAAGCGTTAAACATTTAAATTGTTTAGGGTGTTTTTGCGAGGATTCCAATCCTTGCATTTCAGATATCCATGATGAAATAAGAATGAAAAAAAAAGTGTCTTAATTGTTGATTCACAGTTGTCATGATGTATACATATCCCATAATACATATCACATTAATTTTCTTCGAATGCCAACAGAGTTATTGTTTTTAGGTCAGTTTTATAAAGATTAAATTTATAAATAACTACAAATATTCTTAGTTAAGACATTAACATATCCAATATTGTATTCATATTACGGGAAATACAATAATTTGGGATGATTACCTATAACATATGAACAAAGCAGTAGAATTTGCTCTCAAAGCACTTAACTCTTGCCAGAAGATTTTTTACTGCCATAATGCAACATTTTGTAGTTTTATTAATTATTCTTAACTTTCTTATTAATTTTGAAACAAATTTACATAATTGTCAATTATCTACATCTCTATATTAAAAGGGGAAACAAGTTATGTAGGATTATTTGGTACAAGAAGATAAAGGTTGCATTTGTCGTTTTGAAGCACTAAATTCTATGAACTTATAAGCAATGGCATCGCCTCTAAGCAGTGAAATTCTTTATTTAAAAGCTGGTGGTAATGGCCACTGCCCTTTAAGAGAGAAAGAATAAATGCCAATATTACTGCTTGAGTTATAGGTTTCATTTCATAACTCTGATTTATGGATTTCAGTTCCATGACAACACCTTTTTAAGTGCTCGAGTGCACATTATACTGCTTTGCTTGTATTTCATTTATCTTCGTACTTGTTGCAATTCAGTGCCCTGCAAAATGATTTTTCAGTTGAGAGGCAGATGGTTCTGGTTTTCAGAAAACAACATCTAAAGAAGGTTGTAGAAATGGGTGATATTGAACTGATCACATCTGTGAGCACATTATTTTTTTTTTAAATTTGATCTGTAAATTTGTTATATCTTATGCTACCATAAGCTTAACAATGCTGTGTTAAATATAGACCAAATTTTGTTTTATTATATTTAAAATAATCTGAAAAAAAAAATGTGCTCATGTTATTTGAAAGGAGATACACAAGCTGGGCTACATTCAAAAGGTGAAGACTTAACACAATTCATAGAATATCATTAAAATTCCTGACGAAAACAGAAATATTTTATTGGTGGGTAGAAAGATATGACAAAAGCTGTGGAAGAATTAACCTTGAGAATTGCATCATGGGATATCAGAAAGGCAAGGTTTGTCCTCTTTGAAACTGAACCACACGTAAGTACATATTTTATTTCAATACCATGACAACCATTGAAAAACTGCATTTTTATCATCCAATATGTGATTACTGGAATTGAAATTTTCTAGAGGCAGTCGATCACAGAAACCGATAGATTGGAAATGCAAGTCATTAGTAGCTGGGCTACCCCTACCCCAAATGAAAGTCTTTTGCGATAATTTGAAAAGTAAAATTTTTGTTTCTGTTTTACCTCATGCATATTTTAGCATTTTTCCTGTTTTTTTTATATCAAATATTTACGACCATTCATATAAATTTCTAGTCCATGTATCTGACGAGAATGTTTCCAAATTAAACACAATACGATTAGTAATTTCAACACATAGTATTCTTATGCAATTTGAGTGCTTGCAATACAAAACGAATACTACCCCAATCTAACCCAGCCTAGCCTAACAATATTGAACGACTTGCATTAACGATGTAGCAGTTTCAATGATAGATGCCCCGCCCCTTAACAGAGGAACTACCAATATGCAATAAATAGTCCTTGGTATAAAACAACCACAGCAATGAAGCAAAACGAAGGCAGCTGATATAATAGGAATTGTCAGTTAAACACGAAGAGCTGAAGTGCGTGGACCCTGAGATGTTTATATTTGCAGATAGACAATGAACCTGAAACAATTGCCACAATATGTGTCAACTTCTAAAACAATTGAGACTGAGGTAAAAACATGACTATAACATGCATATATCACTAGGCATATTCACCGAATCACAAGCATATAAATGGAGACACTACATTAATTACTTTTAAATACTGCCAACAATTAGATACTATTATATATATATTAGTTAAAAAATACAAGGAAAATTTCAGCTGCATTTAACACTCCCAGTGTCAGTCAGAGTTTCCATTTTAAATCAAGTTATATTTTGATTCAAAATATAAAGAGATATCTTTTGAGTTTCAAGAAGTTGTAACTGTGGTTTGGTCCTTATCAGTACTCCCCCTACATTTTTTATGGATAAAGACAAAAAAAAAAAAGCTGCTGAATTGTTTAAGTAAATAGTTAAATACCAAATGTGGGATGAACCAAACATCACTTCTTTGACTTAAAAGGAAACCAACTGATTGGACGACTGAGTCATGTGACCAAATTTCTGTGACATGATTGGCTATGAAGCTTACAATCAGCAGCAGCAATGATACAACTGCTTTCACCTGTTGTAACCATAGAAACGCTGCGAAGCAAACAGAGGACAAACAAACAGCCCCCAAATAATTATTCTTCCAAGCATTTATTGCCTGCAGCGACTGATAAAATGGCATCATCATGTCATGACGTCCAAATATGGAAATCATCAAATTCATGGCATGCCCATATAAAGACATGGTCACATGATCTGTTACTGTCAATTTTATAAATATCCTTACATGGAAGTAATATAGATAATAAATTATATGATAATAATCATGTTATTTACAAGGTCTTGTCTTGCACGCAGAATAAGACGGAGTATAACTATATAACTTACATAGAGGTATATATATCATATATATAAAAAAAGACAAAAGGACAAAGACATACAAATGTAACTGAAATACAATGGGTTTAAAAATGTGTTGTTTCCACGACAACGCAAACAAAACCCTACCAGTTAACCGTTTCTTTCTTTCTAAAATTGAAATTAAATAAAACAAAAGTCACTATGAACCATTCAATTTTGGTAAAAACTATCAAAATATTTAAAACATAAGAAACTATATATATACTTTCAGCTATACTTCCCTGCTATATTAAAAGTCTTGTACAGTTGTAAGATCTTTCGTCAAACAAAAAAAAACGAAAAAAAAAAACAAAAAACAAAAATGACCATGTTCACAAACTACTGCATTAAAATGTCAATGAAGAAAACCCTGTTTATGCCATACATGGTAAAAGATGAATTGCATGTCCTTGGATATAATAATCTTTACTGCAAAAAATCTTTATCATATACAGTTGCACAAGTAAACTGAACTGCTTCCTGAGGTTGGTGTGAACATGGTTTCTAATGAGGTAGGCAGGTCAGATATTTAACAATAATAATAATAATAATAATATTAATAAAAGAATAGTTAAGTAATAGGCACCAAAACAAGACAAAACTTGGTCAAAGGGTCAATATTGGTATTAATCCTCTTATTGAGAGGAAATACAAGCATATAATTATGTATCTCTTCAACCTGAGTTGCATGATTAGATGTGATTTCAAGACACAAGAAATGCAATGTGTTTCAAGCTAGAGATACAATTTAAATAGATGTTATACTGCCCTCAAAGGTGAAAATAAGAAATGTGCAAGCCACACGTATATCGAGTCAAGCAATAACAACAAACTCTGGGTAGGTTCTGACATCAAGTAATGGAAGGCGATATTTGAATACTAGCTTTTACAATTTTTAAATAGTGATTATTATTAAATAGTAAATGACTTTAGAAGAACTTGTCTTAGAAGTTTACAAGCACACTCTTCTCTGGGTGATATAAATTTTCCGTAAAATTGTTCGTGCAACATTTTGCCCATTTATTCGGCTACAGACCTTGATAAAAATATATGGAAAATACGGGGAAAAAATTATGTGGGATTACTTGATATCAAAACCACTGGAATTATGGAAATGTGCATGAAAATTAAATAGTATACAACGAATGAGGGGCATGAATATGCTACAGCTAAAAATATGATACGAACATGCATACGCATTGGTCAGTCACCGGGCAGTGCACTGAAAACTGGCTATCATGGACTCTTCCATTCCATTATGAGGGATGAGAATTGATATCCTGGACTGTTCCATTATTGTTTAGAGGTAGTGTAGTTGCTGAGAACCTTGTAATGTTCCATTTCATTTAGAGTGGAGAAGATCGATTGTTTAGAGGTAGCTTGTCGTTCCTTATTGTAATACCCTGTACGCCGAACGGCAAAAAAAAAAAACAATTCATGTTTTCTCCAGATCCACCAAGCATTCTCCTTTCCAACTAAGAACTGCCACATGCTGACAACACAAATATAAAAAAAATGTGCGGGGGCGACTTTTAAAATTTTCAGCTTCAGATACAATAAAATATTTTAAAATAGTTTAAAATTGATCCTATTCTAAAGCATGTAATATATTTATACAATGTTGAATCCTAATATAAAATCACAATATATTATTACATATTTAGTGCAAGCTCAATAAAATGCGGTGAGGTATCATGTTTGATCTCATCATTGTCTCTCTTGTCATCTTTCCCTTCCCTGATTTGTGAATTCCTATAAATATCCTGAGAATCACGAGTGTTCTGGTGGTTTTGGAGGTGGGACTTGTTTGAAAGTTCACAAGAGGATGGTGTCCGTCTTTTCCAAACAGGATCATCTTGAGTGTTTATTTTTGAGTTTCCTGAGAACGGTGGGCCATTCCCTGCAGTTGACAACAGTGGAATTGTGACAGAGTCACTGCTTTTTTGGCAAACCTCATTATCACTGTTGCCATGGTAATCCTGAGTGGAAGAATTTTGTAAGACTTCAGCTTCCTCTGTCGCACATGTCTCAGCATCCCCAAGTTCAGTTAAAACACCCGTATTTTTGTCTTGGTTTGACAAGGACACTGGACAGTTCTCAGCTGTCTTATGAGGTAGCTTTTGACTACAGTCTGTGTCATGGGAGGCAGCATTACAAACACTATCCGTTGCCATGGCATCAATTGGGGAGCCACCATCTTCATCTTCATCACTATGGCAGCTAGGGATGGAGCTCTGAAGTGTAGTTTGGAGTGTTTCATTCTCCTCGTGGTGCTGCATAAAAAAGAAAACAAATAACGCCATAATCCCAGTTTTTGATTTTTCAGCCTTATGAACAACTTCAATGAATCCGAAAAAGTTATGTCAACGAACATTTAATTTGTTGTTTAATACTATAAACATTACCTGAGATGTGATAGTGAAAGTGACAAATAAACACCAGGTTAATAGTATAGGTCATGATTATGAGATCTTACTAAAACTGGAACTGACATAACCATAATCGTTTTTTCAGAGGGTGAAATAAATTAAATGCAGACAAAGTACGCAGACAATAAAGATATGCTTAATACGTCATAGTAGGTTTTTAGCAATTTGTAATGAAAAAAAAAATATTATAGATATATCCTCACTATCTCCCTCAATTTAATTTTGAGAGTACAGGCCTCCAAGGACAAACAAAGCCCCCTAACTAAGTGAATGTATATTGTTTATAAATTTATCTTAAGTTAGTAGGTCTGCTTATACACTCTATTCTGCAGTCAATTTTTCATCTACTGTCCAGAATCTCAACTTTTGATGATGTGTATACAGTGGTCATGGGATGGTACCCCACAGATTGCAAAGTGACACTGCATCTTTAAACAGGTAAACAAATAAAATGTGAATTTTCATCAAGCGCTCTCACTGAATTGGAAATTGTCAGGATATATGAATATGAAAGAAGATATGGTTTCATGACATGAAATAGAAATTATTTATAAAATGGGTGAATCAGTACTTACAGTTGTATCTTCATCTCCAGTTGGATCCCCATGACAACCAGATGACGAAGATGAAGCAGAGATTGGGGTGGAAACTGTAACAGGGGTGTTGCTGTTGCTTAGCAACCGCATGTTTGGAGGTACTCCATTACTGTGAAGGCCGACTGGACTGTACCCATTCATGACAACACCATTTCCACCCTAAAATGAATGAAATTTATAATAGTTCAAACACAAAAGTAGATAATTCTCCTAGCATTAACTTTCAATGGCATAATTTCATTTCCACAAATTTTGGTATCACATTCAGCACATTTCTTATGCATGTTTTCTTTTTCAAATTTTAAACCAAATGGTCATAACACCCAGAAGCGTTTTTATGAGTTCATTCATGTTCATGGAAAACTATTTGAAAACAATAATAAATAAAATTTGAACAACCAACTAAAAAGCTTTGAAAACTAATTAATACATACTTTAGTGTCTATATTGACTTGTTCAGGTAGTTTAGTTAACATAGGAGCAAAGCTCTCCAATTCCACATCACTGAGACGTCTGCCATAGTTCCTAGCCTGCCCATTACCATTACAGTTCGGGACGTGCCCGTTACCCATCGGTATTGCTATTTGCAAGGTGTAAGGTTTTTTACAGAGTGAGTACCAGCCAGTTCTGAAAACAAAATTGTAGTTTTTTTTATTTATTAATGAACAATAAGAAATGTATCTAGTTTTGTTGAGAATAACAAGTACTCTTTGGTTTGATTCACCAAATTCTTTCAACTATCTAGATTGTCAGGGAACTTAAATTTTGAACAGTATCTGATTCACGTTCACTGGCTGAAG